CTGGCAGACTGTATCAGAAAATAGATACATAAGATTGATAGATACATAAGACTCTATGAATCTTAATGTATCTATCTCTCCGTCTATCTGTCTGTCTTTGCTCAGGGCACACACAAAGTCATTGGAACATTAAGAAGGAGGCTGGTGTCAGGGGAGAGCAATTGATGATGACTTAAATAAAATCCCAAGCCAAGGAAAGTCAAACAGACCTCCCACTTAGTCACCCCAGCGCTGTTACAGGAGGTTGTCGGTGAATTCTTCTTCCCCTGATTTCCATCTGCCACCACCCAATATGTATGTGTCTTTGAGTGGGAGCTTACCCTCTTTGGCCCTCACGGTTCTTGTCTGTGAGATGTGGGAACCCCTGGAAAAATCTAGTTCTCTAGCCTCAAAAGAAGGAGTCCTGGGGGCTTAGTGGCTACTCACTGGACCATAATCCGCAAGGTCAGCGGTTCCAAACCATAAGCTACTGCTCAGGATGTGGTTTTCTACTCCTATAAAGAGTTACAGTCTCAGAAACTCCCAGAGGCAGTTCTATCCAGTCCTATAGGGTCACTTTGAGTTGGCATCAACTCAACGGTGAGTTTGTTTTATTTGTTTGTTTATGAGCCTCAAAGGAAACCAAATGCCTCAACAGTAAAATCGTGGATAATGGCAGAAGGGGCTCATGGGTGATAACTGTTCCGAGTGTCCTGTAGATTATATTTCTGATGTGGAGATGCAGGAAATCCAATAGCAGCCTACTCTCGAACTCTGGGTAATTAGCATCAAGAGCCCGAATTGCAGTTAAGATCTCATGATTCCTAGACCAGGTCGCAGTTCCATCAATCACATGGCTTGTGTCCAAGTATGGGGTTCATCCTGGAAAAACCTCCCAGCGAGGATGAGAAGCCAGGATGGTTTAAACTGGGCATTACTAGTACATATGTTCTTGAGTTTTCCTTGGTTGAACTTTGTCATTTCTTTTACCTGTTTATCTTTAGTTCTACACCCACCACCACCCTCTACACACACAGACTGGTACCGGAAAAGTAGGTAAATGATTTTTCCCTACTGTCAAAAGACCATCTGCTGTCTGAGAAGCCTTTCCTAGATTTTATCGTGATTATCATTTTTTTCCATTTGCAGTTAGCAGCACGCTCGCCCTCATGTGCAAGCTTCCGTGCAAACCGCTGCTGCCTCTCAGGCCAGTTGCCTAAGGCCACCTTGGCATTTGTAGGCGACCCCCTCCTCCAGGAGAGAGACACGCTGCTATGTTGCTGTCTGTCCATTTCCTTCCCCTTGTCCTAGAGAAAAGCATCCAAGGTACACCACTGCTGTAGCTATGGAGGTTCCCTGTCTCCAGAAGAAATCCGACAATGGGGTTTCTCTGTGAATCCCACACTGGACAGTTAAGCCTCCACTGCAGCCCAGGCAGGGAAGCCCTAGAAACATATGATCATGTGGTCCATAACCCAGCGGGAGTAAGGAGGTGCATGGGGGCTCTGCTGGGGCCGGGCATGCCCCTCACCCCTGTTTCCCTGCCACCAGTCACCATACAGACAGTGTGTGCTCAGACGGCAGTTGGTCACTGAACAGAGGACGCCTACAGAGGGGCTAACAGGTACTGGACTTTTGGCTCCCCATGGGTACCAGTGGTCGAGATAACCACCACTACCCTGGCCGTCTTCTTGGCATGCCTGCTGTGCTTCCCACCAGGACAGCAGTCGCTGTTCCACAGAAGCCCTTTGGCCACACTCACCCCTCGGTGCACTCTCCTTGGGTCCTCCCCTTCCGGCCCTCCGTGTTTCCCTTTGGGTCACCGCTGCAGTCTCCAAGGTGACTCTCCTCTACCTTTGGCCACTTTCCCTCTGTCATCATTCTCCCCATTGCTGCGGGAACCGTGGGGGCACAGAACAGGGGTGTGCAAATCTTTACCAAACACATGAACACCTTCAATGGCTCACATGGGTTTGGGGATGACATCCGAACTCCCCACTGATTCAAGGCTTTTTCGTGAGCAGACCTTCCCTGGCATCTCTCCATTGACATTCGGTGTTCTGGCCACTGGGGTGAATGCCTAGTCAATTTCTAGACGTTGCGTGTTGAAAGGCTTGGAGGAAAAACCCAGTGACCTCATTCCGAACGGGGATGAAAAGATTACGGAGCACAGTACTTCTCTGAGGCATATTGGAGTTGCCACGAGATGGCAGCTGAGGAGCCACCATTTGCACCACACAGAGGTGCCTGTAGAGAAGGCCTGGTGGTGTTGTGGTTATGCGTTGGTCTGTGATCCACGTGGACGGCAGTTCGAAACCATCAGCAGCTCTGCGAAAGACTGGGCTTTCTACTCTCGTGAGCAGTTACGGTCTCAGCATGGAGGCTCTCTCTGAGTCAGTATTGACTCGAAGGCAGTGAGTTTGGTTTGGGATTTTCTACTTCCGTAAAGAGTTACAGTCTCGGAAACTCACAGGGGCAGTTCTACCCCACCCTATCGGTCCCTGTGAGTCAGAGTTGACGCAATGGCCGTGAGTTTGATACGGGTTCTTGGTGAATTGCAAGCTACCGCAATTGTGAGCCAACGCTCACGTTTCCTGAACATTTACCAAATGACCCAATTCCAGCACACCACTGTATGAACATCTTCTTTGTCTCCGGGTTTTCCACCTGTAAAACAGAAAGACTCTCGTGGGCATCTTCTGACTCCAGGTCTAGGTGCCAGGGGGAGGTGGGCCCAATGCGGAAGTCGTGCATCGGCATGGCTGTGCTTGCCTTGCCGTCTTACCTGAGACTGAGTGAGTCCACTGGCTGTCTCAGCCTCCAGGCCCGGATCTCTGACGACGCTCCTTGCTCATCCAGGGTTCTAGCGCGAGCAGTGTATTGAGTGGTATCGCCCTAAAGAGGGCCAGGCTTTCTGCAGCAGACTGCCTCAATTAGCCTCTCATTCCCAAGCCCACTTGTGCGTTGATTCTGGAGTGGGTAGGCAAAAGGAGGCTGGTGGCTCCAGCCTCTTGCCGAAGGACAGTAATCCACATCCCAGCGTCGTTGCGTTATTAGTCGGCTGGAGAGACTACAAATAACAGGAGACCCAAAGGCAGAGGGTCCATCCCCAATCTCTGGGGGAGGGGGGGTCAGGGCTGAGAGTGTGGGGTTTCCAAGTGGGAGACCGGTTCAGTGACCAGCTTATGTGTAGAGCTGAGGCCCCAAGGGGCGGTGCCCCAGTTGGCCTGTGTGAAGTTCGCAGCCCCATACCACTAGGTCATTAACTTTCATGACCAGGAAAAGACTTTCGAAAGGCAGCCCTCCGTCCAAGCTGGGTGTGATTGGAGCCAGTTGAGTAAGCCTGAACCACCTTTTGGGATCACCTCTGAAAATCAGAATCCCTTAACCAGGTGACCCAAACTGGCCAGATTTTATATCCTTCTGTGTGCACAAGGGCAGTCAGAGAAGATACCAGCGTGACCTGGGCCGGGTTGCTAACCAAGTACCTGCACATACCCATGCGTGACCACATTGGGGGTTTGGGCCAAGGTACTTCGCTGCAGCCCCTGGCCCCCTCTAGAGCATTATAAAGGGGTTCCTAGCGAAAGGTCAAGTGTTGTGCTGGACACCTGCCCCGGGGACTCAGTGGGAGGCCCAGAGCACCCAGAATACAGATGTATCAGATGGGCACAGATAAGGGACCCCTGGACAGGCCTTGTTTACAAGGATTCCAAGAGCTAGCCCAGGCCTCCCTTTCAGTGGCCCCGGCCTGAGATCATTCCAGTTGGCCCTTTAAATTGTCCCCAAGAGTGTGCCACCTATCTCCATGCCCCGAACCTCACCTCTGTGACTGCCCACACCCGTGCACTCAGCCCTACCAGCCCAGGCTGGCCATTAGCACCCTGCAAGGAGTCGAGGCAGCTCTACTGTCCGGTGGACAGAAGTTAAAACAGCCCTGGTCACTGAGCAGAAGACAGAAGGAAGCCAGTACGACTCCCATTGTCTCCCGTAATTGCCAGATCATTTAAATTATCTTGTTCTTTGTGCTCCTCAACACAGAAACAGCTGTGTCTGTCTGAGGAGACCTTAGCGGGGCTCTGGGCTCACTCAGGATGTCTCCCACAAAGTCCCCTTCAGAGGTAAAAGCTGCCAGGAGGTCCCAGCAATCCCCCCTCCTCCCCAGGCCCCTGGGCAGTGCAGCATCTCCCTGTGGCCTGGTAGTGCCGATGGAGAGTGTGCCTGGCTGCTAACGGAGAGATTGGAGGTTGGGGGCCCCTCAGCAGCACCTCAGAAGAAAGGCTTGGCGATCCACTTCCACTGAGAACCCAATGGACCCAGGTCTACTCTGACACACCTGAGGTCATGCGTGAGGCTGGTCCCCATAGCAACCAGGAGAGATTTCTCCCACAACCCAGAACCTCCCAAGTGCTCCTTTGACCTTGGACTCGCTAGATGCTGCCTGCAACCCCGGGCCGCCACACTCCATCACAAGCAGGTGTCACCCCGCCGCCTCTCCCATCAGTCTCCTCCCTGGACTGGACAAATTCACTACGCCCCCGCCACGGGGCGAGAGAAGACTTAGAAGACAGATACATGGATTTCCAAACCCCATAGGAATGACAGGAGCAGATGGGCTGGAGGCTGCCAGTCAGAGGCTTGGGACATGTTTCTGTACAAAGTAAATATTTTCCCAGTGTGTCCCTCGGGTGAGTGTGTGAAGCAGCACATTTCCTCAAGATGCAAATCAGCCGAGTCAGAAATACATGTTGAATGGGGACTTCAAAGCATCAAGACTTTAATAGGCCCCACAGACTTCTCTTCAGATCTCTCCAGAAGCACCCAGGTGGAGGCCACTGGGGGAAAGGGGTGTGCTTCGGCCTTGGCTATGGGAGAGTGCTAGACGTTAATACTTTGCATTTTCTATACAGTGTGGGCACATGGCAAAAAGGCAACTGAACAAAGGATTAGAGAAAGACAACAACCGCCCAGAGGCTTACAAGGTTTTAAAGCCCGTCTCCCACCCTCTCTTCATTCGGCAGGTCTCGCCTTGCGGATTTTTTTACCAACTGCCAGCCAGAGCCCAGATCTGTCAGCGGCTGCCTGAAGGAGAACTATGCAGACTGCCTCCTTGCCTACTCTGGGCTCATTGGTAAGATGGGGCGGGTGGGGAAGGGGAGAAGGGGGCCGAGAATCTATCTGGTTTCCACATCCCAGGAACCCTGGGTGCCAGGGTGGATGTGCGGTCTGCCAGGCAAGGACGAGGATAATAGATGCTGCAGACCAAGGCAGGAAGCAGGGATTATTCCAGAACAGGGAGACGGGGTATGGAACTCCGGGAAGAGAAGGGACCTAGCAACAGAAATCACCCCAAAAGAACAGGGACTGAAGAAAAGAGCCAGTCACACAAGTTCACTGACTCGGGGAGCTTTGGAGAAAGGGAATTTAGCCGTCCTTCCATCGGGGAGAATCAAAAAGGTTCTTTACTGGAAATGGCCCTTTGGGGGGAAAAAATGTATACCCTAAAGGCAGGGGTCCTTCCCTCTGTAAATATTCTAACTAAATTCAAACTAGATTCTACACACTCATACACACACACACACCCCAAAAGACATTGTATCAATGCTATTTTCTGCCTTTAAAGACTGGAAGCGTTGGAAGGGCAGCTTGTTCCCACATATAAATGGAGCAGGAGGGAGAAGGGCAGATGTGCCAGGTGCTCAGCCTGCTGACGTCTCAATGAGAAGGCCAAGAGGGGTGAGAGAAATCACGGTTGACAGGAGCTTGCTAGAGTATGTCCCAACCCAGTTTCTCCGTCAAGGTCACACAAGCCACCAGGCAGAAAGCAGTGCCCATCAAGAATGGCACACACCAACTCAACAGTTTAGACATCTCTTCCCGGTGGTCTGGTGGATGCTCTCTTAGCAATTTCTCTGTGTGTCATTGGCTGACCTGATTCACAGGGAGGATCCCTGGTGGAGTAGGGGTTACACATTGGGCTGCAGTCCGCAAGGTTGCCAGTTCAAAACCACCAGCCTCTCAGAGGGAGAAAGGGAGGAAGACGGGGCTTTGACTTCCGTTAAGAGTTCCAGGCTGGGCAACCCACAGGGGCAGTTCTACCCTGCCCTGTTGGGACTCTGTGAGTTGGCACCAACTTGATGGTAGTGGGGGTCTTGAATTCTTCACCTGTGCCACCTTCCAACCCCCCTTTTCAGATTAGTTCCGATGTCCCCAGCAACCCCATTCCCAAACAGAAATGGGAACAGCCCTGGTGCCCATCAACAGATGGACAGGCAAACAAAATTCAGGACTTGCTTTCAGTAAAGATAAATTTAAAGCTATAAAGATAAATGAAACTCTGACACATGCCGCCACATGAATGAACCTTGATAACTGTGCCAAGTGCAATAAGGCAAAACACAGAAAGGACAAAGGTGACGTGACGTCACTTACATGGAATATCTCCAATCAGTAAATCCATTGAGAAAAAAGAGCGGGGAGTGGGGAGTTAGAGAGAGCGCAATCAAAATGATGCCACACTTACTGGGATGATTTGACAATCCCCTGGAAGTTCAAATACAGTAAAGCATGGATGGGAGAAAGGGAGGGAGGGAGGGAGGGAGGGACAGAGAATGACAGTTCTGACTAAATTCTTTCAAACTAGAAATTCTTTAGCAAGAGCCATTGGCAAAAACAGTAGTATTTCCTGCAGGGATCTTAAAAGTAACTGGCACACCTATGCCCTCTTGGATAATGCTGTGTACCAGTTATTTACCATTTTTATCGACGATTCCAGTGAATGTATGTTTCATATGTTAGTGCTCAAAGAACTCACAGCCACCCTTTGCCCTTCTGGAGTACGGTAGTCCATTAGGGGTTAATTACCTGCTGTGGAATTACAGGTTTAAACAAGAGCACTGCACATTTCGTTTTAATTATGAAAGCAACTTCAGGTATGCTCATTGTAAAAAGCTTTTTAAAAAAGCACTGGGCAGAGCAAAGGAGAAAATTGTAAGGATCTGTAACCCCAGTCTCCAGATGTAATCGCTAAGGATACATTCTTCCATGCCCTTCTTGTATGCCCCACTTGACTCCCCCATGGGTGACCCAGGCAGACATTTATGAGGCCATGCCTCAGCCTGGCTGAGGCTGAGAAATCAAAGGAACAATGGGCAAAGGCAAACATGAACGTGTCTCTTGGGTCTGCATCTCTTGCTCAGCATCACTTCCTGGGTCATGGGATCTCTCCCCCAGCACTGCCTCCTAGGTCACTGAATTCTCACTTCCTCCAGGACACTGCCTCTCCCTCCCTACTTCCTCCATATGCCAGGGGTCCAGTATGGTACCAGGAGTACAGTGGGTACTTAGTTGATACTCCTCAACCTCCTCACTCTAAGTTTGGATTGCCCTGTGGGATGAAGGGGTGGGGGGCTCCCCACAAATCATCACAGGTCTGGTAGGTGCCATTGTACAGCGATAATAAGTAAAGATTATAGTAAAGTCATAGCATGAGAGTTAGAGGAGAGATTGGAATAAATGGAGTCAGACACAGTTCATGGTAGCATTGCTCACTTCAGCCCCGCTTGAAGGTCCTGGGGACCGAGAACTGGGGAGCCACCCCTGGCCCGAGAGCCAGAGAGGGCCCCAGGAATCGGGGAGAGCTTCTCTCTTCTTTATTGCTAACCACGCATTATATCACTTTAGGGGGGCATGATTATAGAATCACA